ARKWWTTCATARAAATGATTTTACCTTTCTGGTTCGTCTCCCAAGGTAGTTTTTGTGTCGGTGAAATCGCATGTCTTTCATAAGGATTCGATGCTTGTGGTCCAGGATTCTTATGAATAAGAGGTTCAATAACTCTATAGTTACCATCTTCAGCTTCCGCACCCACCGATGTAAACCCATTTATAGTGTCRACTACTGGTGTATCTTGACGTCTTGGTGCATCAGGTCTCGTCTCTCCAGTTTCTTCGCGAGCTCGAAAATTATGATCTGCTTTCTGAAATGAAAGTGGTTCGTGGATGCCGATAGTTRRAGGAAACTTGCCAGAAACCTTTTGTCTTTGAGCACGTTGTTGCCAAGATATAGGRTCCTCTGGAAGATGCATTCGAAACGTCCCATAAGGCGAATTAGAGCGAAATGTTTCCGTGATAGTTGCCATTATTWATGTAGCAATTCARAAACGTTCRAAAAGTATTCTTGCATCAAATATAGTCGACGGAAAGCTAAGATAATCCTGTAACTTTAGTTTGAACACAAACTTTTGAAAACTAATACAATGCGTCACCTAGAGTGGTTGCTATGGAGGATCGCGGGCTCATGTTTATGATTACATGACATCTTGTGACTTCGTGATTTGATATTTTAAATATTTATTCTTTTAAAATGTTTATAAACATAAATTCAAATATTTKCCCGAGAAAATCGTCGCATAGATTTAAACTTTTTAGTTTTTATTTTTCAAACATTTTTGGCATTTTACGTAAAAATGTCATCAAACTGAATATGTCACAGGATTTTTAATTTTAAAGTTTAATTTTTTAAGTTACCTGCAATATCAAATATACATATTATCAGCTGAATATGATTTTGTATTCCTTTTTGTGAGGAATTACTCTKTTAAGTACTGGTTTGTGTAGAGATTATTTGCACAAAAATAATGATCWATATGCAGGTAGCAAAATTTATAGTGTCTATGACATGATATTYAAATTATTGTTTAGTATACATGTCTATAGCATCCAGTAACAAACTTTGCAAAGAATGAAAAAGACAAAATTTAAAGGAAACTTGTTAATTATTTCATTGCTAATATATTTAGCATAAACACTCCATCAATAGTAATTATATTTAATTGTCATATTTACAAGTCTGGTTGCTTTAAAAGTTACTAGTTCAAAGTCCTGAATTATTTGGCTTTCTTCATTTGGTTAGTTGCCATCAGGTARACTCCATAAAATGTTACACCTAAACCAATGACAGTTAGTCCCATAGCACCTCTGTAAACTAGAGCATCCGAGTTGCCTTTGAGGTAAACTGGCAAACTTCCTTTCTGTGGACAAAATTACARAAAGAAATATTGCAAGCATTGCAGGTACAAGTTCAAAAGAATGATGAAGAGAAAAAGATCAAGAAAAACTTGTTTATCAACCATTTAATAGTAAGGCATAAAAATCYTCATTGATGGMAGTCTATTAATTTTTTTCATTATAATTTATGTCAGTTACAAGCGTAGCAATTATGCAAACAATGGTCATTWATGTTATAAAGTACGTACTGAAATGATTTAGATAGAGATACAATCTACTTACGAACCTGAAAAAGTTTTTGAAATCGACCAACCCTGCTTGGTCGTTCATAATACTGCTTTAGAAAATGGTCATTCAACAAACCCATCTTCTGATATTCTGTATTTTATCTAGTATGTCTGTAGAAAGAAATGTATGAAATATAGAGAAATTATATAAAACATYRCCATTATTATACCATTAACAATAYCCTTATAACAGTTGCCTGTAACAAWTTGGAAAGTAACTGTCCCTTTAGCCAAAGGCAACCAGTGAACATTCAATGACAGAAACCTTTCAATTATGCATTGATCAGTTAATTGAGGCCATGGAATCCAAACACTAGGGAATACTATTTAAATTCTACAAAAACGTCATAGCTTTTGTTGAGAGAGGCCAAAAATGGTGGACAAACAGATTATTCCCTTTGATTTAGACATAATTCATAGAGAGAYTGATGCTCTCATACAGTGTTAAATGACTGGCTATTATTTATTAAGTGCTAATTCCCCAGTTTTTCCCAAGGGTTGACTGATGTTTTATTGATTTACATGTATATAGTATATCAATGTATCAATCACTGCAAGCTCAAAGATTGTCCAGCTTTGATGTAAMAGATGGTGCAGGCAATGGTCAAGAAGAGAGAGGTGGCACCTTAGAGCAGATTTCGTATGAGTGGGACACAGTTACCGCACGGTTACCGCACAGTTACCGGACCTGGCCTGCAGAATTKTGGTGAAACAATGGGGCACTAGAATTTGGTTACAGTACGATTACGGTCACAGTACAGTACCGTCCGTTTCCCACYCATACGAAATCTGCTCTACATCACGGTTCAGATGTATATTATACGCTAAGTTGTACCAATAATGAATTGAAGCAATAAACAAAATGAAATGGAAGCTAGTCCTGAGCGCCCTGCAGGAGTTAAGAAGKCTAATATCGAGGGTTTCCTGCATTCACCTTAATTGAATAAAAATTGCTTTTCCAATGTACTGAAAAAGGGCATTTTTCTTGGTTCAGGTGTGAAATTCAATTGAGGGCATTACAATATAAGTACTCAAATGTTTGGCACGAAAATACCCCAAGTGCCTAAAAACATATAGATATACATATAAAATGCTGCTTCCCAGGGAAATAATGCAAGCTTTGCACACTTTGAACTTTGAGAAATCTGTAAACTTAGATGTCATGATGATTTGGAAAAACTAATTTTTGGTATGAATTTCTAACCATTGTAATCACTCTTATTACTGAACATAAAGGCTCACAAAAGAAGACAATTCTTGCTATATTCTATCAATAAATTTCCTTAAAACGAAGTTACAATCCTTGAAACTTTGCAAATGAACTTACCTACTGTAATTCTCCAGAATACCGGCTGGTTGAACTCCTGCGCGTGCGCATTAAATTATATTCCACAGGGATCCCACGTACTCCTTGAATAACTAAAATCAGTATAGCCAAATCGAATCGATCAACAAACGGCAATTTTTATTGAACATGTTAAGACCTAAAAGTTGAAAATAAAGCTTTTTATATGTATAAAGAAATTTAATTATTTTTGTAGCAGATATATTAAAATGAAATAAGCACAGGGTGCCCAAAATAATACTTTTTTTTTGAAAAACAATCAAGCAAGCGAAAAAGAAGATCATTTTTGTATTTCATTACAAACTTAGAAATGCATAATATCAGCRTAAAAAGWTCATTACAATWAGAATAAAAAAATCTGGCTCYTWTGCAGTGAAGCAGTTCTAGTTTGTGCTGCCCTCACAGTGAGCAAYAGTCTGAAATAATGATATCGAAATAGATGGAATATAAAAATGATCGGGTATAAATTATGTTTTTCCTACTCTATAATTGTTGGCTAAAAACAAATGACGTCACCATACTAGAATGTTCTCGACATCACAATTTTTTCATCTCTAACTAAATTGTCACTGAAAAAAGTTATTATATCAACAAATATCATATTTTTGGGATCATATGTGTCAATATTGGTCAATTTATGTAAATAAATCATCGTTTTGTTCATAACCATAACATAAACATCATGACGTCATAGTTTCGGTCCCAGGACGACACAATTACAAACTCAGCCAGAGATGARTGTTCTCAAATTTCTACTAGGATTGCCTCTCCTAYCTGTATTATAGGCGATAAGGCTGTATTTTAGCCAGACAAGACATCTCTATGTGATTCTACCTCTGTGCAAGCACCGTGAGAGATACGTAGTTCATCACGGATCAATGGTTTTTGAATATAGTCAAAATTCCTTCGATATTCGGCCGAGATCCATTGATGCTGCACRGTACACAAGTCTCGTTSACATGAAAATGGCAGCTAGTGCTTTTACCGGGCAGTGAGTCAAGAAACAGCAMTCAAATCCTCGTGGAAATTCTGYTAAACTTCAGCAACGATGGAAGAGTCAGCCGAAGTGATTGAACAATCTCCAACTCCAAGTAACCGGTGAGTAAGCTTATTAGTTAATAGCTAATATGGTCTACGTTTTTAAACTGAACTTATTAGAATCTTACATAGTTTAACATTAATATTATTTGTTTCAAAGATGCGAACATAAAGCCAAAGTTTTGTTCCGTAGATTAATGCCTTAACGCGTACTTTCGATTAAAAACTTGTTCATGAACGTAAAGACGAGTGTTTGCATGAATATTTTCTAGACTGTCTTCTAAATTTATATTAATCGTTTAATGGAAGATAGACTATTCTTCGGTAAAGATGTATTAAGTAAGTATGATTTAATTCTCCGAAGTTAGTTTTTTATCTAATCTAAAGCTTAAAGGTTACAAATATAAAGAATGATCAAACTTACGTTTAATACTAAGCTTTATAATTATTTGTTCGATCCATATATGTACACATGTAATGATAATATATGCATGCTTTTGTTATATTCGAGGTTATTGTACGCTAGGGTGGTTCAGTGATTACAATTCTTTATTATAAAGAGCCTTGAAATAAAGCAAATACATTCTTAGTCAACTTCAGAAAGATATCATTTATTCAACTCATGACTTTRAGGTTTGTTTTCCCACACAATTACTTTAGGCCTGATTTTGATATGCTGTTTCTGAAATATGTTCAAAAGCTTCTCATGTATATCAATTCATTTAAGCAAATAATTTTTAAACACACTATGGAGCCGTACCTTTCAGTTAAATTAAGTATATTTAAGTATAGGCGAATTTGTGGCTAGCTGGATGCCTCATTCTCACTAAACACCTTTAAATATGTAAATTGCCCTAGAGGTACAAAAACACAACTTTTCAATAAACAATTAGTAGAGTACCATGGTGCCCACATTGAGGTTGGCCTGGCATGATATCTCCTGGATAAAAGATAATAGTCTGCAATGAAAGCTCACTTGATGAAATACATATTTTATGTAACATGTCAGCTCATTTGAGGTTTCTGGCTTCATTGTTGTTGCCATATATGTTTTGTTTGTCTGTGCGTGTAATAAATCAAGGTTCTCATTAGCATTTCTTTTTTTGGTTATCAATACAATTATTATCTTTATATTACTATATATAATATTTTTGATTAGCAAACGCTCTGATTGGCTTACAACTGTGTTTATATAAGAGGATAGAGACACGGCTTACTGGCAAATTTTTTTTCACTCAAAATACTCAGAAAAATTTTATAAAAGAAGTTCTATAAAACAGCTGCTTGTGTCTCTGTCCTCTGATATAAACACGATGGAAGCTGAAAAACACAAGAGTTAGAGAAGCAAGCTTACGCTCGCTATGCTCGTGTTTCTCTTGCTTCTCGCAACAGAGAYACACATGTCATTTTATATTTCTTTAATAGTTTACAACATGGACATAAATGTTGTAAACAAACTTTAAAATGTAAATACTAATTATAAACATGAATTACTGTGAGATAAAYGGCAAAAAATGACAAKGAAGTTAAMTGTTGAGTTGATTCRTTAATRAGCATTCCACAATTTTGAATATTTATCTATCCCACATGGAAAGTTACCCATAATTTCAAAACTGAGAACTTTTGTAAATACATTATTATTTTGCATTTACAAGGTCAACTGGCCAAATAGACGTAGTCCTTATTGGACTACTAGCTCATGACATATATATTCAATTTTAAGTTATTTTGGATACGTAATCAAGGGGCAATTTTGAAAAAAAGAAAATTGATTCATAAAAGTACTCTGTTAAAGTCAGATACTTTTATTTATATTACTTTTATTTATTTTTTTAACTTTTGACTTCACTTGCAACAATTTCAGAAGCCATCCAACTCCAAGGCCAACTCCTCCMAGACCGCCCATGCCTTATGCTTCCAATGACAAAGAGAATGTGTCTATAAGCAATGGTGGTACCAAAGTTACTAAGAAATTAAGTATTGGTAAAGAAAAGCCAGTTGCTCCAACAGCTAATTCTGCTGAAGGAGGGAATATTCAGCTTGCAAGAGCTGGAGAGACTGTCCTAGAAACCTTCTATGGCATGTTGTACATATGTGAAGACGACACAAAAGAATGGAAGCTAGCGGCCAATGGCTTTATTCCTCTTTGTTTTATCCAAGAGCGTGGAAATGCTAACAATCCTTTTAAAGTCATTGCTGCTCATGGTTCTATCAGGGTAGGTTTAAACATTTTAATTGAGAATTATTGAGAAAAAAAATATACCTAATGTAACAGCACTAACCAACAATACAAATGAATAAAAGAATTAGGCAATTGAAGGAATGAAGACAAAATTATAACCCTGTCTGTCAAAAAAAAAAAACATTAAAACAAATGCATGATGGAATGATTTATTCCTGTTGAAATTAACTTTCTTTATCTGATTTTCAGGTAATGGAGTTCCCAGTAACTAAGGACACAAAATGTACTCAGAACAAAGCCTTTGTAAGATGGCATGACTTGCCTCTTAAAATGTATGGTGTTAGATTTGCAAAAGAGAGTCAAGCAAACCAGGTTAGCAATCATGAAAGTATCAGGCACTCAGATAAAATCTTTACTGAAATTTTCAAGTTACATGAAGTACTTGAATGTGTACATTACAATAAAT